TTTGATTGTAGGCATAATTATCGATTTAGTATTTCGTATTTGTTTGATTACACATTCTGGGCTGGGGATTTTCAAATCATTACATTGATTTTGTGTTGCAACTGATATTGTGCAGTGATACTATAAAAATCAATCTGCATTATGGAGGAGCAATGGAGAAGAAGGAGAACAAGTTTACATATAAGGGACGGGCTTTGAAAAATGCTATCACGATCGACCCAGATTTCATGACTTGGTCGATGTTTGATGCTTCTGTGAAGAAAATGGACTTGGGCGCGGTTTAGTGGAGAAAGTATGGTATAAACTTCCGCAGGAGGATATGGGGGGTAGTAAGGATGATTTCTGAGCTCACTTCAGATGCACAGATTAGTGAGATGTGTAATCAAGCGATCACAGTAGGTGCAGTTGATATCTTCATTGAGCAACGCCTTTCTGCTAGTACCAATAATGGTGAAGATGGTGAAGATACTAGAATAGATGGTGAGAATGTAGGAGGCCAAGATGATGGAGGACAGTGCAATGATGATAGTGATATTGGGGATGATCAAGCTCGTGAGAATGAAGGAGATCAAGATGATGGAGGACAGTGCGATGATGATAGTGATATTGGGGATGATCAAGCTCGTGAGAATGAAGGAGGCCAGGACGAAGGAGAAGAAATTATCGAAGAAGGAGGAGATGACATTCGATTTCAGACATTTATGAATGAAGTACAAAATGAAGAAGTTGGCGGATTGGGTGAGTTGAATGATAATCTTCCTGCACCTTCTAATGCGGCGATTGATGAACTTGTTGTTGATGATGAGGCTGAATTAGAGAGGCAATGTAAGGATGCTGAAGAGCCTGCTCCCGCTCTTGACACAGATGATGAGTGGGAAGATTTCAATAGGACTGAAAATGCAATGTCAAGAATGAGGTACAGCAAAGACAAGCCACCATACTTGTGGTTAATGCAGACTTTTAAAAGTGGTGAAGAGTTCAAAGAGCAGCTGTTGCGGTGTGTTCTGAAGACAAACTTTGATGTGAAGTTGTGTCGATGGAAGAAAACCAAGTTGGCGGCAATTTGTACAAAAGAGAAATGCAACTGGAAGATATATTGTTCTGTGGAGAAACCAAAAGGGAAGTGGATGGTGAAAACATATGTGGATCGTCATAATCATATGAAGAGTAGCAAGGCTAAAATGTTGAAACAAGGGACAGTTGCGATGTTATTCAAAGACGAAGCAAGAAGAAGACCAGGAATTAAGTGGACTGACATCAAAGACGAGATCATGATGAGGTATAATTTGTCTGTCTCTAAGTGGATATGTTCGAAAGCAAGAAGAATAGCTCTAGATATGGTTATTGAAACTCAAAAGGAACAGTTTGCCAAGTTGTGGAATTATGAGGCTGAACTCAGGCGTACAAATGCGAATACAAAGACAGAGATTGTGACGATTCCTCGCGATGATGGTAAGCTAGTCTTTGACAAATTCTACATCAGTTTTGAAAACCTTAGAAACTCCTGGAAGCGTTGTTGTCGACCTATTATTGGTCTAGATGGAGCCTTCATGAAATGGGAGCTTAAAGGTGAGATTTTGGCAGCTGCTGGCCGAGATGCAGATAATAGGATTTATCCTTTTGCGTGGGCCATAGTTAGAGTGGAGGATAATGAGTCTTGGGCTTGGTTTATTGATAGATTGAAGACAGAATTAGACTTGGGATTAGGCAACGGATACACTGTAATATCTGATAAACAAAAGGGCTTGATAAATGCTGTGAAAGATCTTCTTCCTAATGCAGAGCATCGACATTGTGCTAGGCATATATTCGCCAACTGGAAAAAAGTGTATGGGATGATTGAGTATGAAGAGTACTTCTGGGCAGTGGCAAAAAGTCCATGTAAAGGTGATTATCAGTATAATATGGACGCTTTGAAAGCTTTTGATGAAGTTGCATACAAGGATTTGCTGAGAACAGAGCCGCATACTTGGTGTAAAGCCTTTTTCAGTTTACAAGCAAGGTGTGATGATGTTTGTAACAATCTGTCTGAGAGTTTCAACAGAACAATCAAAGAAGCTCGCAAGTTGCCATTGATTAACATGCTTGAGGAGATAAGGAGGCTTGCAATGTCGCGTATATCTCGGAGGAAAGAGATGACAATGAAGTGGGAAAGCAAGTTTCCACCAAACATAATGGAGATCTTTGAGCAAAATCGCACTGAAAGTGAGGTATGCAAGGTGCTTAAAAGTAGTGAAAGCTTGTATGAGGTTGTTGAGCAAAATTGTAGCTACGAGGTTTGTCTTCCATATAAGCATTGTGCTTGTAACCAATGGGATATCACAGGAATACCTTGTCGCCATGCCATTCATGTCATAACAGAGCTGAACCGTGATCCAGAAGAGTGAGTGGTATTTCACATTGAGTTGTTTTAGATTTTTAATGTCTTACTTTATTAACTCTTTTCCTAATATAATGTAGCTATGTCGATGACTACTACTTGACATCTAAGTGGCAAGACACTTATAATGACAATATTAAACCGGTTAATGGCGAGAGACTGTGGGAGAAGCTTAACAAAGATCCGATTCAAGTACCTGAGAGAAGGAGAATGGCAGGATGTCCTAAAAACTACGATAGGATCAAGGAGGCACATGAGTCAAAAACTAATCCAACAAAGGTTACTAGAGAATGAAGAACGATGACGTGCAGAAACTGTAAGCAAACGGGTCATAATAAGAGCACTTGCATTCGACCCCCTGCGGTGGAAACTACTACCAAACGAAAAAGAGGACGGCCTAGAAAGCAACCAGTAATGATATATAATTAGTGTATATCCTTTATTTTGTTCAATGCATGTAGTTGGAGCATACACTTACTGTGTTCTTCATTTTATAATAGGATGATGATCAATGGAGCATTCAAAATGCACCAAAGAAGAAGCGAATTACTAAAAGCAAATCAACTCCAGCTCCAACATCTTCAGAGAATGCTCAAAGCCAATCTACACAGAATGCTCCAATTTTGACTCAGAATTCCCAAAGCCAATCGAATCCACCTCCAGTTTCGACTCAGAATTCCCAAAGCCAATCGAATCCACCTCCAATTTTGACTCAGAACTCTCAAAGCCAATCGACTCCACCTGCAACTTCTGCAAAAGATTCTGGTGCTGCAGCTGAACCAGCTCGTCGTGGTCGTGGTCGTCCACGTGGTCGTGGCCGTGGTCGTATCCGTGAGCCGCCAATTCCTAGAGGTTATGGTTGTTATATTTCTCCTTACACTGGTCGAGTTTTTGACGTTTGGGGATCTACTGCTAAAGATATGAATGGTCCTACTCCACGACCACGTGAAGACCCTTAGGAACTTTTGAGTTTGGCTTTTGTATGATCCTTATTAGGTATTCGTATCTTGGCTCTTCTTTTGCTTAAGTAATCGTTATGAATTTGGCACTTTTATTGGTTTGAATTGGCAGTATTTACTGTCTTGCTTTGGATTTTGGTGTGTGTCACATTTGACTATAGTTTTCAGAATCTATCTACGGTTATTTACACTCTTTCGATTGCATTTCTTGTGTTTTGTTTGGTAGTTTTGTTATCTGCAATTACGATCAAGACAGAACAACCATTGATTAATATTTTACAACCAAAAAACAGATTAAACCATATTCAAGGCAACTATTACAAGACACCAGAACCCGACCACAAACTCAGAACAACAAAACAACTACTACCGAAGACTAGAATGCCAAAAACCACACAACAACAAGCATAATTAATCGTCCCTCTAACATAACTAATCTTCCATTCAACTACTTCTTCACCATTGTCAAGATCATTGCTGTGATAACAATGAATCCTCCCCATGAGATGACAACAAATTGTCGCAGCAGCTTTTCCCTTTCTTTCGAGGCCATGGCTTCGTTCTGAAGTTTCATTCGATCTTCTGAAATCCGATTCCACACATCTGTATCGACCACAGTTGTGTCCGACTTCACAACGCCTGAATCGACCACAGTTGTGTCCGACTTCACAACTGCTCCACTTAAAATTTTCTCATTCAGAGCTCGAACAGACTCTTTTAGGGCGTTAATTTCTTGATATTGTCGACGAATCTAATCTCTTGCCTCTAGTAAGCTCTCTTTCTGCCACCCATGGGGTTTTTCTTTATCCGACCATGTGAAGAATCCATGAGCATCGCATTTGTAAAACTTCCTTCCAGGATTATCATCTGTCCATGACTTCAACTTCACCGTCATTCTGCCGCAGCGGCAAAGAGGCCCCTCCATCTGGCTGTAGCTCCGGTTAAACGAGTTCGCATCTGAGCCGCCAGAACTTTGTCCTCCTTCCATTCTCTGTGGTTCTCTGATTTTGACGATGGATGAAAGAGGAAAAGAGACCACAAATTGAGATCAGAAATTACTCGTTAGGAAGTGAGAACTGAGAGAGAACTGAGAGAGAAGAGAAGAAGAAGAGGAAAAATGGCGAAATCGATTTGGGGAAAATGAAATTAGGGTTATTCGATTTTTGGAGGTTTTGTGCAAATTCTGATTAATTAAAGTCATTCGTTGATAAAACATTAAACACCGTTTACTGTTTCCGTTAACCTAGCTGACGTCGTTAACATCTATATTGTAAACTTGCAAATTTTGAATCTCTGTGTATTATTCTGGCAACGAAAAATAAATTAAGTTTCTTTTTGGGAGCCCAAATAGTTGAGGTATTTTTTTGGCAAATAAAAATAACCTGAGGTATTTTTAAAGTTTTTTCCCAAAACTTCCTATATCTCTCATATAAGAAACAAAACAAAGAACATTAAACAATTAATTAAATATCATCCCTAACAAAATCATTCACTAAACCTTTCCCCTCTCCCCCTAAAACAGAGTATACCTTCAAAACCCAATTACTCTTTTTCTTTTAATCACCTCTCCCTCAAGAAAAGCTCTCTTTGTTGCCTGTGTTGCCTCGTTCTAGGCCGTCAGATGATCTATCTTCCATCTGAGCCGTGGGATCATAAAAGAGCTAGAGATTAGAATTGGAACTGCGAGTGGAACTTGAGTTGATGAAGACAGGAGTGTCTCTAGGCGTGTGTGACGTGGCGCCACGTGAGCTACCACTGTTTCCCATGTCTTTTGTCTTGTGGAGAAGAAAGGTTCCTGATAAAATGGTCACAAAGCCACATAGCTCCGTCGCAATTTGCAAACCACTCTGAGAAGCCCAGTCCTGAACCATAACACAAATGATGATGATGATGATGATGTTCTTATATTATACAAAATGGTAATTTCTTTAGTTTATGATCAGTTCTTGAAAACCAGAGTATACCTTGAACATGATCATACTAGCTAAGATGGTGAAAGTTGTGAACATAACGTAGTACACAGGAGATATAACCGCGGTGTTGAAATTATCTAGAGCCTGCACAGATGAATTACAAAGATGAAACAAACTAAGGAGGTTTGTTCTTGAATCTGACAAAAACTAAATTGATACCAAGATCTTGTTGTCATCACCTTGTTCAGGTAGTTGATTTGCAAAATGCAACATATGGTCACTACTATGATGAAGATCCATGCGTGGAAGTACTTAAACTGGTTCATCCCGGAAAAGTCAGCTTTATAGCAATTGCCACAGCTTTGACACTCATAACCTAACACGAAACAGAGACAAAGACACTTACTTATATGCAAAGAGAGATATTACAAAGAGATGGCTCAATAAAAAAAAAACATACAGTGAGAGATCCCATTAAGGAGCAAATCCCAACATATACTATCATATGCGTCTTCCCATAACGGGGTTCGTAGTAGAAGATCAGTGCAAGCACCACAACCAAAACCACAGCAGAGTAAGCAAGGAAGCCTGATTCAGAGCATGTTTCAGTCAAATTAGAATCTAGCTATGTCTTTTGACAAAACAAAGAGACCTTTTATAGTTCTATACCTGGTTCAGTAGCCAGATGCCATATGTGCTTGACTGATTCAATGTCTTGCTCGTGAGGAGCATGCAAAACAATCGTTGTAGATCCAACAACACAGAAGACGCAGCCAAGTATACCGAACATATGCAACTTCTCTTCCAAGATAAAATGTGCAAGCACTGCGCTGCATAACAGGGTTTCTGTTTTCAGGAAACTAAGGTTGTTTTTAAGAAAGATACAATGGGAGAGAGATAAGGCATAGTGGATACAGATACCTGAAAATAATACTTAGAGCTCCCAAAAGTGTCACTAGAATAGCAGGTGCAAATGCATAAGCTGCAAAATTGGCTATCTCCCCAACAATCACTGTAAGAAAGAGGGAACACAATCTTATTAAGTATCACAACCAAACAATTCAACAGAATCTACTCTTTGCTTGTTTCTATCTTCTTGTTTCCAAGTAAAAGCTTAACAATTGATTTTGGAGATGGTTTCATATTAATCTAATGATTGTTACTCGTCCAAGCTATCAGATTACTGTCCCAAAACAAAACCAGGATCCTTGATATTTAACATATATACGTTAAATATCATCCCTAACAAAATCATTCACTAAACCTTTCCTCTCTCCCCCTAAAACAGAGTATACCTTCAAAACCCAATTACTCTTTTTCTTTTAATCACCTCTCCCTCAAGAAAAGCTCTCTTTGTTGCCTGTGTTGCCTCGTTCTAGGCCGTCAGATGATCTATCTTCCATCTGAGCCGTGGGATCATAAAAGAGCTAGAGATTAGAATTGGAACTGCGAGTGGAACCTGAGTTGATGAAGACAGGAGTGTCTCTAGGCGTGTGTGACGTGGCGCCACGTGAGCTACCACTGTTTCCCATGTCTTTTGTCTTGTGGAGAAGAAAGGTTCCTGATAAAATGGTCACAAAGCCACATAGCTCCGTCGCAATTTGCAAACCACACCCAGTCCTGAACCATAACACAAATGATGATGATGATGATGATGTTCTTATATTATACAAAATGGTAATTTCTTTAGTTTATGATCAGTTCTTGAAAACCAGAGTATACCTTGAACATGATCATACTAGCTAAGATGGTGAAAGTTGTGAACATAACGTAGTACACAGGAGATATAACCGCGGTGTTGAAATTATCTAGAGCCTGCACAGATGAATTACAAAGATGAAACAAACTAAGGAGGTTTGTTCTTGAATCTGACAAACAAAATTGATACCAAGATCTTGTTGTCATCACCTTGTTCAGGTAGTTGATTTGCAAAATGCAACATATGGTCACTACTATGATGAAGATCCATGCGTGGAAGTACTTAAACTGGTTCATCCCGGAAAAAGTCAGCTTTATAGCAATTGCCACAGCTTTGACACTCATAACCTAACACGAAACAGAGACAAAGACACTTACTTATATGCAAAGAGAGATATTACTAAGAGATGGCTCAATAAAAAAAAAAAACATACAGTGAGAGATCCCATTAAGGAGCAAATCCCAACATATACTATCATATGCGTCTTCCCATAACGGGGTTCGTAGTAGAAGATCAGTGCAAGCACCACAACCAAAACCACAGCAGAGTAAGCAAGGAAGCCTGATTCAGAGCATGTTTCAGTCAAATTAGAATCTAGCTATGTCTTTTGACAAAACAAAGAGACCTTTTATAGTTCTATACCTGGTTCAGTAGCCAGATGCCATATGTGCTTGACTGATTCAATGTCTTGCTCGTGAGGAGCATGCAAAACAATCGTTGTAGATCCAACAACACAGAGGACGCAGCCAAGTATACCGAACATATGCAACTTCTCTTCCAAGATAAAATGTGCAAGCACTGCGCTGCATAACAGGGTTTCTGTTTTCAGGAAACTAAGGTTGTTTTTAAGAAAGATACAATGGGAGAGAGATAAGGCATAGTGGATACAGATACCTGAAAATAATACTTAGAGCTCCCAAAGGTGTCACTAGAATAGCAGGTGCAAATGCATAAGCTGCAAAATTGGCTATCTCCCCAACAATCACTGTAAGAAAGAGGGAACACAATCTTATTAAGTATCACAACCAAACAATTCAACAGAATCTACTCTTTGCTTGTTTCTATCTACTTGTTTCCAAGTAAAAGCTTAACAATTGATTTTGGAGATGGTTTCATATTAATCTAATGATTGTTACTCGTCCAAGCTATCAGATTACTGTCCCAAAACAAAACCAGGATCCTTGATATTTAACATATATACGTTAAATATCATCCCTAACAAAATCATTCACTAAACCTTTCCCCTCTCCCCTTAAAACAGAGTATACCTTCAAAACCCAATTACTCTTTTTCTTTTAATCACCTCTCCCTCAAGAAAAGCTCTCTTTGTTGCCTGTGTTGCCTCGTTCTAGGCCGTCAGATGATCTATCTTCCATCTGAGCTGTGGGATCATAAAAGAGCTAGAGATTAGAATTGGAACTGCAAGTGGAACCTGAGTTGATGAAGACAGGAGTGTCTCTAGGCGTGTGTGACGTGGCGCCACGTGAGCTACCACTGTTTCCCATGTCTTTTGTCTTGTGGAGAAGAAAGGTTCCTGATAAAATGGTCACAAAGCCACATAGCTCCGTCGCAATTTGCAAACCACTCTGAGAAGCCCAGTCCTGAACCATAACACAAATGATGATGATGATGATGTTGTTCTTATATTATACAAAATGGTAATTTCTTTAGTTTATGATCAGTTCTTGAAAACCAGAGTATACCTTGAACATGATCATACTAGCTAAGATGGTGAAAGTTGTGAACATAACGTAGTACACAAGAGATATAACCGCGGTGTTGAAATTATCTAGAGCCTGCACAGATGAATTACAAAGATGAAACAAACTAAGGAGGTTTGTTCTTGAATCTGACAAACAAAATTGATACCAAGATCTTGTTGTCATCACCTTGTTCAGGTAGTTGATTTGCAAAATGCAACATATGGTCACTACTATGATGAAGATCCATGCGTGGAAGTACTTAAACTGGTTCATCCCGGAAAAAGTCAGCTTTATAGCAATTGCCACAGCTTTGACACTCATAACCTAACACGAAACAGAGACAAAGACACTTACTTATATGCAAAGAGAGATATTACTAAGAGATGGCTCAATAAAAAAAAAAAACATACAGTGAGAGATCCCATTAAGGAGCAAATCCCAACATATACTATCATATGCGTCTTCCCATAACGGGGTTCGTAGTAGAAGATCAGTGCAAGCACCACAACCAAAACCACAGCAGAGTAAGCAAGGAAGCCTGATTCAGAGCATGTTTCAGTCAAATTAGAATCTAGCTATGTCTTTTGACAAAACAAAGAGACCTTTTATAGTTCTATACCTGGTTCAGTAGCCAGATGCCATATGTGCTTGACTGATTCAATGTCTTGCTCGTGAGGAGCATGCAAAACAATCGTTGTAGATCCAACAACACAGAGGACGCAGCCAAGTATACCGAACATATGCAACTTCTCTTCCAAGATAAAATGTGCAAGCACTGCGCTGCATAACAGGGTTTCTGTTTTCAGGAAACTAAGGTTGTTTTTAAGAAAGATACAATGGGAGAGAGATAAGGCATAGTGGATACAGATACCTGAAAATAATACTTAGAGCTCCCAAAGGTGTCACTAGAATAGCAGGTGCAAATGCATAAGCTGCAAAATTGGCTATCTCCCCAACAATCACTGTAAGAAAGAAGGAACACAATCTTATTAAGTATCACAACCAAACAATTCAACAGAATCTACTCTTTGCTTGTTTCTATCTTCTTGTTTCCAAGTAAAAGCTTAACAATTGATTTTGGAGATGGTTTCATATTAATCTAATGATTGTTACTCGTCCAAGCTATCAGATTACTGTCCCAAAACAAAACCAGGATCCTTGATATTTAACATATATACGTTAAATATCATCCCTAACAAAATCATTCACTAAACCTTTCCCCTCTCCCCCTAAAACAGAGTATACCTTCAAAACCCAATTACTCTTTTTCTTTTAATCACCTCTCCCTCAAGAAAAGCTCTCTTTGTTGCCTGTGTTGCCTCGTTCTAGGCCGTCAGATGATCTATCTTCCATCTGAGCCGTGGGATCATAAAAGAGCTAGAGATTAGAATTGGAACTGCGAGTGGAACCTGAGTTGATGAAGACAGGAGTGTCTCTAGGCATGTGTGACGTGGCGCCACGTGAGCTACCACTGTTTCCCATGTCTTTTGTCTTGTGGAGAAGAAAGGTTCCTGATAAAATGGTCACAAAGCCACATAGCTCCGTCGCAATTTGCAAACCACACCCAGTCCTGAACCATAACACAAATGATGATGATGATGATGATGTTCTTATATTATACAAAATGGTAATTTCTTTAGTTTATGATCAGTTCTTGAAAACCAGAGTATACCTTGAACATGATCATACTAGCTAAGATGGTGAAAGTTGTGAACATAACGTAGTACACAGGAGATATAACCGCGGTGTTGAAATTATCTAGAGCCTGCACAGATGAATTACAAAGATGAAACAAACTAAGGAGGTTTGTTCTTGAATCTGACAAAAACTAAATTGATACCAAGATCTTGTTGTCATCACCTTGTTCAGGTAGTTGATTTGCAAAATGCAACATATGGTCACTACTATGATGAAGATCCATGCGTGGAAGTACTTAAACTGGTTCATCCCGGAAAAAGTCAGCTTTATAGCAATTGCCACAGCTTTGACACTCATAACCTAACACGAAACAGAGACAAAGACACTTACTTATATGCAAAGAGAGATATTACAAAGAGATGGCTCAATAAAAAAAAAACATACAGTGAGAGATCCCATTAAGGAGCAAATCCCAACATATACTATCATATGCGTCTTCCCATAACGGGGTTCGTAGTAGAAGATCAGTGCAAGAACCACAACCAAAACCACAGCAGAGTAAGCAAGGAAGCCTGATTCAGAGCATGTTTCAGTCAAATTAGAATCTAGCTATGTCTTTTGACAAAACAAAGAGACCTTTTATAGTTCTATACCTGGTTCAGTAGCCAGATGCCATATGTGCTTGACTGATTCAATGTCTTGCTCGTGAGGAGCATGCAAAACAATCGTTGTAGATCCAACAACACAGAAGACGCAACCAAGTATACCGAACATATGCAACTTCTCTTCCAAGATAAAATGTGCAAGCACTGCGCTGCATAACAGGGTTTCTGTTTTCAGGAAACTAAGGTTGTTTTTAAGAAAGATACAATGGGAGAGAGATAAGGCATAGTGGATACAGATACCTGAAAATAATACTTAGAGCTCCCAAAAGTGTCACTAGAATAGCAGGTGCAAATGCATAAGCTGCAAAATTGGCTATCTCCCCAACAATCACTGTAAGAAAGAGGGAACACAATCTTATTAAGTATCACAACCAAACAATTCAACAGAATCTACTCTTTGCTTGTTTCTATCTTCTTGTTTCCAAGTAAAAGCTTAACAATTGATTTTGGAGATGGTTTCATATTAATCTAATGATTGTTACTCGTCCAAGCTATCAGATTACTGTCCCAAAACAAAACCAGGATCCTTGATATTTAACATATATACGTTAAATATCATCCCTAACAAAATCATTCACTAAACCTTTCCTCTCTCCCCCTAAAACAGAGTATACCTTCAAAACCCAATTACTCTTTTTCTTTTAATCACCTCTCCCTCAAGAAAAGCTCTCTTTGTTGCCTGTGTTGCCTCGTTCTAGGCCGTCAGATGATCTATCTTCCATCTGAGCCGTGGGATCATAAAAAGAGCTAGAGATTAGAATTGGAACTGCGAGTGGAACCTGAGTTGATGAAGACAGGAGTGTCTCTAGGCGTGTGTGATGTGGCGCCACGTGAGCTACCACTGTTTCCCATGTCTTTTGTCTTGTGGAGAAGAAAGGTTCCTGATAAAATGGTCACAAAGCCACATAGCTCCGTCGCAATTTGCAAACCACACCCAGTCCTGAACCATAACACAAATGATGATGATGATGATGATGTTCTTATATTATACAAAATGGTAATTTCTTTAGTTTATGATCAGTTCTTGAAAACCAGAGTATACCTTGAACATGATCATACTAGCTAAGATGGTGAAAGTTGTGAACATAACGTAGTACACAGGAGATATAACCGCGGTGTTGAAATTATCTAGAGCCTGCACAGATGAATTACAAAGATGAAACAAACTAAGGAGGTTTGTTCTTGAATCTGACAAACAAAATTGATACCAAGATCTTGTTGTCATCACCTTGTTCAGGTAGTTGATTTGCAAAATGCAACATATGGTCACTACTATGATGAAGATCCATGCGTGGAAGTACTTAAACTGGTTCATCCCGGAAAAAGTCAGCTTTATAGCAATTGCCACAGCTTTGACACTCATAACCTAACACGAAACAGAGACAAAGACACTTACTTATATGCAAAGAGAGATATTACTAAGAGATGGCTCAATAAAAAAAAAAAAACATACAGTGCGAGATCCCATTAAGGAGCAAATCCCAACATATACTATCATATGCGTCTTCCCATAACGGGGTTCGTAGTAGAAGATCAGTGCAAGCACCACAACCAAAACCACAGCAGAGTAAGCAAGGAAGCCTGATTCAGAGCATGTTTCAGTCAAATTAGAATCTAGCTATGTCTTTTGACAAAACAAAGAGACCTTTTATAGTTCTATACCTGGTTCAGCAGCCAGATGCCATATGTGCTTGACTGATTCAATGTCTTGCTCGTGAGGAGCATGCAAAACAATCGTTGTAGATCCAACAACACAGAGGACGCAGCCAAGTATACCGAACATATGCAACTTCTCTTCCAAGATAAAATGTGCAAGCACTGCGCTGCATAACAGGGTTTCTGTTTTCAGGAAACTAAGGTTGTTTTTAAGAAAGATACAATGGGAGAGAGATAAGGCATAGTGGATACAGATACCTGAAAATAATACTTAGAGCTCCCAAAGGTGTCACTAGAATAGCAGGTGCAAATGCATAAGCTGCAAAATTGGCTATCTCCCCAACAATCACTGTAAGAAAGAGGGAACACAATCTTATTAAGTATCACAACCAAACAATTCAACAGAATCTACTCTTTGCTTGTTTCTATCTACTTGTTTCCAAGTAAAAGCTTAACAATTGATTTTGGAGATGGTTTCATATTAATCTAATGATTGTTACTCGTCCAAGCTATCAGATTACTGTCCCAAAACAAAACCAGGATCCTTGATATTTAACATATATACGTTAAATATCATCCCTAACAAAATCATTCACTAAACCTTTCCCCTCTCCCCTTAAAACAGAGTATACCTTCAAAACCCAATTACTCTTTTTCTTTTAATCACCTCTCCCTCAAGAAAAGCTCTCTTTGTTGCCTGTGTTGCCTCGTTCTAGGCCGTCAGATGATCTATCTTCCATCTGAGCTGTGGGATCATAAAAGAGCTAGAGATTAGAATTGGAACTGCAAGTGGAACCTGAGTTGATGAAGACAGGAGTGTCTCTAGGCGTGTGTGACGTGGCGCCACGTGAGCTACCACTGTTTCCCATGTCTTTTGTCTTGTGGAGAAGAAAGGTTCCTGATAAAATGGTCACAAAGCCACATAGCTCTGTCGCAATTTGCAAACCACTCTGAGAAGCCCAGTCCTGAACCATAACACAAATGATGATGATGATGATGATGTTCTTATATTATACAAAATGGTAATTTCTTTAGTTTATGATCAGTTCTTGAAAACCAGAGTATACCTTGAACATGATCATACTAGCTAAGATGGTGAAAGTTGTGAACATAACGTAGTACACAAGAGATATAACCGCGGTGTTGAAATTATCTAGAGCCTGCACAGATGAATTACAAAGATGAAACAAACTAAGGAGGTTTGTTCTTGAATCTGACAAACAAAATTGATACCAAGATCTTGTTGTCATCACCTTGTTCAGGTAGTTGATTTGCAAAATGCAACATATGGTCACTACTATGATGAAGATCCATGCGTGGAAGTACTTAAACTGGTTCATCCCGGAAAAAGTCAGCTTTATAGCAATTGCCACAGCTTTGACACTCATAACCTAACACGAAACAGAGACAAAGACACTTACTTATATGCAAAGAGAGATATTACTAAGAGATGGCTCAATAAAAAAAAAAAAACATATAGTGAGAGATCCCATTAAGGAGCAAATCCCAACATATACTATCATATGCGTCTTCCCATAACGGGGTTCGTAGTAGAAGATCAGTGCAAGCACCACAACCAAAACCACAGCAGAGTAAGCAAGGAAGCCTGATTCAGAGCATGTTTCAGTCAAATTAGAATCTAGCTATGTCTTTTGACAAAACAAAGAGACCTTTTATAGTTCTATACCTGGTTCAGTAGCCAGATGCCATATGTGCTTGACTGATTCAATGTCTTGCTCGTGAGGAGCATGCAAAACAATCGTTGTAGATCCAACAACACAGAGGACGCAGCCAAGTATACCGAACATATGCAACTTCTCTTCCAAGATAAAATGTGCAAGCACTGCGCTGCATAACAGGGTTTCTGTTTTCAGGAAACTAAGGTTGTTTTTAAGAAAGATACAATGGGAGAGAGATAAGGCATAGTGGATACAGATACCTGAAAATAATACTTAGAGCTCCCAAAGGTGTCACTAGAATAGCAGGTGCAAATGCATAAGCTGCAAAATTGGCTATCTCCCCAACAATCACTGTAAGAAAGAAGGAACACAATCTTATTAAGTATCACAACCAAACAATTCAACAGAATCTACTCTTTGCTTGTTTCTATCTTCATGTTTCCAAGTAAAAGCTTAACAATTGATTTTGGAGATGGTTTCATATTAATCTAATGATTGTTACTCGTCCAAGCTATCAGATTACTGTCCCAAAACAAAACCAGGATCCTTGATATTTAACATATATACGTTAAATATCATCTCTAACAAAATCATTCACTAAACCTTTCCCCTCTCCCCCTAAAACAGAGTATACCTTCAAAACCCAATTACTCTTTTTCTTTTAATCACCTCTCCCTCAAGAAAAGCTCTCTTTGTTGCCTGTGTTGCCTCGTTCTAGGCCGTCAGATGATCTATCTTCCATCTGAGCCGTGGGATCATAAAAGAGCTAGAGATTAGAATTGGAACTGCGAGTGGAACCTGAGTTGATGAAGACAGGAGTGTCTCTAGGCGTGTGTGACGTGGCGCCACGTGAGCTACCACTGTTTCCCATGTCTTTTGTCTTGTGGAGAAGAAAGGTTCCTGATAAAATGGTCACAAAGCCACATAGCTCCGTCGCAATTTGCAAACCACACCCAGTCCTGAACCATAACACAAAATGATGATGATGATGATGATGTTCTTATATTATACAAAATGGTAATTTCTTTAGTTTATGATCAGTTCTTGAAAACCAGAGTATACCTTGAACATGATCATACTAGCTAAGATGGTGAAAGTTGTGAACATAACGTAGTACACAGGAGATATAACCGCGGTGTTGAAATTATCTAGAGCCTGCACAGATGAATTACAAAGATGAAACAAACTAAGGAGGTTTGTTCTTGAATCTGACAAACAAAATTGATACCAAGATCTTGTTGTCATCACCTTGTTCAGGTAGTTGATTTGCAAAATGCAACATATGGTCACTACTATGATGAAGATCCATGCGTGGAAGTACTTAAACTGGTTCATCCCGGAAAAAGTCAGCTTTATAGCAATTGCCACAGCTTTGACACTCATAACCTAACACGAAACAGAGACAAAGACACTTACTTATATGCAAAGAGAGATATTACTAAGAGATGGCTCAATAAAAAAAAAACATACAGTGAGAGATCCCATTAAGGAGCAAATCCCAACATATACTATCATATGCGTCTTCCCATAACGGGGTTCGTAGTAGAAGATCAGTGCAAGCACCACAACCAAAACCACAGCAGAGTAAGCAAGGAAGCCTGATTCAGAGCATGTTTCAGTCAAATTAGAATCTAGCTATGTCTTTTGACAAAACAAAGAGACCTTTTATAGTTCTATACCTGGTTCAGTAGCCAGATGCCATATGTGCTTGACTGATTCAATGTCTTGCTCGTGAGGAGCATGCAAAACAATCGTTGTAGATCCAACAACACAGAGGACGCAGCCAAGTATACCGAACATATGCAACTTCTCTTCCAAGATAAAATGTGCAAGCACTGCGCTGCATAACAGGGTTTTCTGTTTTCAGGAAACTAAGGTTGTTTTTAAGAAAGATACAATGGGAGAGAGATAAGGCATAGTGGATACAGATACCTGAAAATAATACTTAGAGCTCCCAAATGTGTCACTAGAATAGCAGGTGCAAATGCATAAGCTGCAAAATTGGCTATCTCCCCAACAATCACTGTAAGAAAGAGGGAACACAATCTTATTAAGTATCACAACCAAACAATTCAACAGAATCTACTCTTTGCTTGTTTCTATCTTCTTGTTTCCAAGTAAAAGCTTAACAATTGATTTTGGAGATGGTTTCATATTAATCTAATGATTGTTACTCGTCCAAGCTATCAGATTACTGTCCCAAAACAAAACCAGGATCCTTGATATTTAACATATATACGTTAAATATCATCCCTAACAAAATCATTCACTAAACCTTTCCCCTCTCCCCCTAAAACAGAGTATACCTTCAAAACCCAATTACTCTTTTTCTTTTAATCACCTCTCCCTCAAGAAAAGCTCTCTTTGTTGCCTGTGTTGCCTCGTTCTAGGCCGTCAGATGATCTATCTTCCATCTGAGTCGTGGGATCATAAAAGAGCTAGAGATTAGAATTGGAACTGCGAGTGGAACCTGAGTTGATGAAGACAAGAGTGTCTCTAGGCGTGTGTGACGTGGCGCCACGTGAGCTACCACTGTTTCCCATGTCTTTTGTCTTGTGGAGAAGAAAGGTTCCTGATAAAATGGTCACAAAGCCACATAGCTCCGTCGCAATTTGCAAACCACTCTGAGAAGCCCAGTCCTGAACCATAACACAAATGATGATGATGATGATGATGTTCTTATATTATACAAAATGGTAATTTCTTTAGTTTATGATCAGTTCTTGAAAACCAGAGTATACCTTGAACATGATCATACTAGCTAAGATGATGAAAGTTGTGAACATAACGTAGTACACAGGAGATATAACCGCAGTGTTGAAATTATCTAGAGCCTGCACAGATGAATTACAAAGATGAAACAAACTAAGGAGGTTTGTTCTTGAATCTGACAAACAAAATTGATACCAAGATCTTGTTGTCATCACCTTGTTCAGGTAGTTGATTTGCAAAATGCAACATATGGTCACTACTATGATGAAGATCCATGCGTGGAAGTACTTAAACTGGTTCATCCCGGCAAAAGTCAGCTTTATAGCAATTGCCACAGCTTTGACACTCATAACCTAACACGAAACAGAGACAAAGACACTTACATATATGCAAAGAGAGATATTACTAAGAGATGGCTCAATAAAAAAAAAACATACAGTGAGAGATCCCATTAAGGAGCAAATCCCAACATATACTATCATATGCGTCTTCCCATAACGGGGTTCGTAGTAGAAGATCAGTGCAAGCACCACAACCAAAACCACAGCAGAGTAAGCAAGGAAGCCTGATTCAGAGCATGTTTCAGTCAAATTAGAATCTAGCTATGTCTTTTGACAAAACAAAGAGACCTTTTATAGTTCTATACCTGGTTCAGTAGCCAGATGCCATATGTGCTTGACTGATTCAATGTCTTGCTCGTGAGGAGCATGCAAAACAATCGTTGTAGATCCAACAACACAGAGGACGCAGCCAAGTATACCGAACATATGCAACTTCTCTTCCAAGATAAAATGTGCAAGCACTGCGCTGCATAACAGGGTTTCTGTTTTCAGGAAACTAAGGTTGTTTTTAAGAAAGATACAATGGGAGAGAGATAAGGCATAGTGGATACAGATACCTGAAAATAATACTTAGAGCTCCCAAAGGTGTCACTAGAATAGCAGGTGCAAATGCATAAGCTGCAAAATTGGCTATCTCCCCAACAATCACTGTAAGAAAGAGGGAACACAATCTTATTAAGTATCACAACCAAACAATTCAACAGAATCTACTCTTTGCTTGTTTCTATCTTCTTGTTTCCAAGTAAAAGCTTAACAATTGATTTTGGAGATGGTTTCATATTAATCTAATGATTGTTACTCGTCCAAGCTATCAGATTACTGTCCCAAAACAAAACCAGGATCCTGTATATTTTACATATATACGTTAAATATCATCCCTAACAAAATCATTCACTAAACCTTTCCCCTCTCCCCCTAAAACAGAGTATACCTTCAAAACCCAATTACTCTTTTTTCTTTTAATCACCTCTCCCTCAAGAAAAGCTCTCTTTGTTGCCTGTGTTGCCTCGTTCTAGGCCGTCAGATGATCTATCTTCCATCTGAGCCGTGGGATCATAAAAGAGCTAAAGATTAGAATTGGAACTGCGAGTGGAACCTGAGTTGATGAAGACAGGAGTGTCTCTAGGCGTGTGTGACGTGGCGCCACGTGAGCTACCACTGTTTCCCATGTCTTTTGTCTTGTGGAGAAGAAAGGTTCCTGATAAAATGGTCACAAAGCCACATAGCTCCGTCGCAATTTGCAAACCACTCTGAGAAGCCCAGTCCTGAACCATAACACAAATGATGATGATGATGATGATGTTCTTATATTATACAAAATGGTAATTTCTTTAGTTTATGATCAGTTCTAGAAAACGAGAGTATACCTTGAACATGATCATACTAGCTAAGATGGTGAAAGTTGTGAACATAACGTAGTACACAAGAGATATAACCGCGGTGTTGAAATTATCTAGAGCCTGCACAGATGAATTACAAAGATGAAACAAACTAAGGAGGTTTGTTCTTGAATCAGACAAACAAAATTGATACCAAGATCTTGTTGTCATCACCTTGTTCAGGTAGTTGATTTGCAAAATGCAACATATGGTCACTACTATGATGAAGATCCATGCGTGGAAGTACTTAAACTGGTTCATCCCGGAAAAAGTCAGCTTTATAGCAATTGCCACAGCTTTGACACTCATAACCTAACACGAAACAGAGACAAAGACACTTACTTATATGCAAAGAGAGATATTACTAAGAGATGGCTCAATAAAAAAAAAAACATATACAGTGAGAGATCCCATTAAGGAGCAAATCCCAACATATACTATCATATGCGTCTTCCCATAACGGGGTTCGTAGTAGAAGATCAGTGCAAGCACCACAACCAAAACCACAGCAGAGTAAGCAAGGAAGCCTGATTCAGAGCATGTTTCAGTCAAATTAGAATCTAGCTATGTCTTTTGACAAAACAAAGAGACCTTTTATAGTTCTATACCTGGTTCAGTAGCCAGATGCCATATGTGCTTGACTAATTCAATGTCTTGCTCGTGAGGAGCATGCAAAACAATCGTTGTAGATCCAACAACACAGAGGACGCAGCCAAGTATACCGAACATATGCAACTTCTCTTCCAAGATAAAATGTGCAAGCACTGCGCTGCATAACAGGGTTTCTGTTTTCAGGAAACTAAGGTTGTTTTTAAGAAAGATACAATGGGAGAGAGATAAGGCATAGTGGATACAGATACCTGAAAATAATACTTAGAGCTCCCAAAGGTGTCACTAGAATAGCAGGTGCAAATGCATAAGCTGCAAAATTGGCTATCTCCCCAACAATCACTGTAAGAAAGAGGGAACACAATCTTATTAAGTATCACAACCAAACAATTCAACAGAATCTACTCTTTGCTTGTTTCTATCTTCTTGTTTCCAAGTAAAAGCTTAACAATTGATTTTGGAGATGGTTTCATATTAATCTAATGATTGTTACTCGTCCAAGCTATCAGATTACTGTCCCAAAACAAAACCAGGATCCTTGATATTTTACATATATACGTTAAATATCATCCCTAACAAAATCATTCACTAAACCTTTCCCCTCTCCCCCTAAAACAGAGTATACCTTCAAAACCCAATTACTCTTTTTCTTTTAATCACCTCTCCCTCAAGAAAAGCTCTCTTTGTTGCCTGTGTTGCCTCGTTCTAGGCCGTCAGATGATCTATCTTCCATCTGAGCCGTGGGATCATAAAAGAGCTAAAGATTAGAATTGGAACTGCGAGTGGAACCTGAGTTGATGAAGAAAGGAGTGTCTCTAGGCGTGTGTGACGTGGCGCCACGTGAGCTACCACTGTTTCCCATGTCTTTTGTCTTGTGGAGAAGAAAGGTTCCTGATAAAATGGTCACAAAGCCACATAGCTCCGTCGCAATTTGCAAACCACTCTGAGAAGCCCAGTCCTGAACCATAACACAAATGATGATGATGATGATGATGTTCTTATATTATACAAAATGGTAATTTCTTTAGTTTATGATCAGTTCTAGAAAACGAGAGTATACCTTGAACATGATCATACTAGCTAAGATGGTGAAAGTTGTGAACATAACGTAGTACACAAGAGATATAACCGCGGTGTTGAAATTATCTAGAGCCTGCACAGATGAATTACAAAGATGAAACAAACTAAGGAGGTTTGTTCTTGAATCAGACAAACAAAATTGATACCAAGATCTTGTTGTCATCACCTTGTTCAGGTAGTTGATTTGCAAAATGCAACATATGGTCACTACTATGATGAAGATCCATGCGTGGAAGTACTTAAACTGGTTCATCCCGGAAAAAGTCAGCTTTATAGCAATTGCCACAGCTTTGACACTCATAACCTAACACGAAACAGAGACAAAGACACTTACTTATATGCAAAGAGAGATATTACTAAGAGATGGCTCAATAAAAAAAAAAACATACAGTGAGAGATCCCATTAAGGAGCAAATCCCAACATATACTATCATATGCGTCTTCCCATAACGGGGTTCGTAGTAGAAGATCAGTGCAAACACCACAACCAAAACCACAGCAGAGTAAGCAAGGAAGCCTGATTCAGAGCATGTTTCAGTCAAATTAGAATCTAGCTATGTCTTTTGACAAAACAAAGAGACCTTTTATAGTTCTATACCTGGTTCAGTAGCCAGATGCCATATGTGCTTGACTGATTCAATGTCTTGCTCGTGAGGAGCATGCAAAACAATCGTTGTAGATCCAACAACACAGAGGACGCAGCCAAGTATACCGAACATATGCAACTTCTCTTCCAAGATAAAATGTGCAAGCACTGCGCTGCATAACAGGGTTTCTGTTTTCAGGAAACTAAGGTTGTTTTTAAGAAAGATACAATGGGAGAGAGATAAGGCATAGTGGATACAGATACCTGAAAATAATACTTAGAGCTCCCAAAGGTGTCACTAGAATAGCAGGTGCAAATGCATAAGCTGCAAAATTGGCTATCTCCCCAACAATCACTGTAAGAAAGAGGGAACACAATCTTATTAAGTATCACAACCAAACAATTCAACAGAATCTACTCTTTGCTTGTTTCTATCTTCTTGTTACCAAGTAAAAGCTTAACAATTGATTTTGGAGATGGTTTCATATTAATCTAATGATTGTTACTCGTCCAAGCTATCAGATTACTGTCCTAAAACAAAACCAGGATCCTTGATATTTTACATATATACGTTAAATATCATCCCTAACAAAATCATTCACTAAACCTTTCCCCTCTCCCCCTAAAACAGAGTATACCTTCAAAACCCAATTACTCTTTTTCTTTTAATCACCTCTCCCTCAAGAAAAGCTCTCTTTGTTGCCTGTGTTGCCTCGTTCTAGGCCGTCAGATGATCTATCTTCCATCTGAGCCGTGGGATCATAAAAGAGCTAAAGATTAGAATTGGAACTGCGAGTGGAACCTGAGTTGATGAAGACAGGAGTGTCTCTAGGCGTGTGTGACGTGGCGCCACGTGAGCTACCACTGTTTCCCATGTCTTTTGTCTTGTGGAGAAGAAAGGTTCCTGATAAAATGGTCACAAAGCCACATAGCTCCGTCGCAATTTGCAAACCACTCTGAGAAGCCCAGTCCTGAACCATAACACAAATGATGATGATGATGATGATGTTCTTATATTATACAAAATGGTAATTTCTTTAGTTTATGATCAGTTCTTGAAAACCAGAGTATACCTTGAACATGATCATACTAGCTAAGATGGTGAAAGTTGTGAACATAACGTAGTACACAAGAGATATAACCGCGGTGTTGAAATTATCTAGAGCCTGCACAGATGAATTACAAATATGAAACAAACTAAGGAGGTTTGTTCTTGAATCAGACAAACAAAATTGATACCAAGATCTTGTTGTCATCACCTTGTTCAGGTAGTTGATTTGCAAAATGCAACATATGGTCACTACTATGATGAAGATCCATGCGTGGAAGTACTTAAACTGGTTCAGCCCGGAAAAAGTCAGCTTTATAGCAATTGCCACAGCTTTGACACTCATAACCTAACACGAAACAGAGACAAAGACACTTACTTATATGCAAAGAGAGATATTACTAAGAGATGGCTCAATAAAAAAAAAAACATACAGTGAGAGATCCCATTAAGGAGCAAATCCCAACATATACTATCATATGCGTCTTCCCATAACGGAGTTCGTAGTAGAAGATCAGTGCAAGCACCACAACCAAAACCACAGCAGAGTAAGCAAGGAAGCCTGATTCAGAGCATGTTTCAGTCAAATTAGAATCTAGCTATGTCTTTTGACAAAACAAAGAGACCTTTTATAGTTCTATACCTGGTTCAGTAGCCAGATGCCATATGTGCTTGACTGATTCAATGTCTTGCTCGTGAGGAGCATGCAAAACAATCGTTGTAGATCCAACAACACAGAGGACGCAGCCAAGTATACCGAACATATGCAACTTCTCTTCCAAGATAAAATGTGCAAGCACTGCGCTGCATAACAGGGTTTCTGTTTTCAGGAAACTAAGGTTGTTTTTAAGAAAGATACAATGGGAGAGAGATAAGGCATAGTGGATACAGATACCTGAAAATAATACTTAGAGCTCCCAAAGGTGTCACTAGAATAGCAGGTGCAAATGCATAAGCTGCAAAATTGGCTATCTCCCCAACAATCACTGTAAGAAAGAGGGAACACAATCTTATTAAGTATCACAACCAAACAATTCAACAGAATCTACTCTTTGCTTGTTTCTATCTTCTTGTTACCAAGTAAAAGCTTAACAATTGATTTTGGAGATGGTTTCATATTAATCTAATGATTGTTACTCGTCCAAGCTATCAGATTACTGTCCTAAAACAAAACCAGGATCCTTGATATTTTACATATATACGTTAAATATCATCCCTAACAAAATCATTCACTAAACCTTTCCCCTCTCCCCCTAAAACAGAGTATACCTTCAAAACCCAATTACTCTTTTTCTTTTAATCACCTCTCCCTCAAGAAAAGCTCTCTTTGTTGCCTGTGTTGCCTCGTTCTAGGCCGTCAGATGATCTATCTTCCATCTGAGCCGTGGGATCATAAAAGAGCTAAAGATTAGAATTGGAACTGCGAGTGGAACCTGAGTTGATGAAGACAGGAGTGTCTCTAGGCGTGTGTGACGTGGCGCCACGTGAGCTACCACTGTTTCCCATGTCTTTTGTCTTGTGGAGAAGAAAGGTTCCTGATAAAATGGTCACAAAGCCACATAGCTCCGTCGCAATTTGCAAACCACTCTGAGAAGCCCAGTCCTGAACCATAACACAAATGATGATGATGATGATGATGTTCTTATATTATACAAAATGGTAATTTCTTTAGTTTATGATCAGTTCTTGAAAACCAGAGTATACCTTGAACATGATCATACTAGCTAAGATGGTGAAAGTTGTGAACATAACGTAGTACACAAGAGATATAACCGCGGTGTTGAAATTATCTAGAGCCTGCACAGATGAATTACAAATATGAAACAAACAAAGGAGGTTTGTTCTTGAATCAGACAAACAAAATTGATACCAAGATCTTGTTGTCATCACCTTGTTCAGGTAGTTGATTTGCAAAATGCAACATATGGTCACTACTATGATGAAGATCCATGCGTGGAAGTACTTAAACTGGTTCAGCCCGGAAAAAGTCAGCTTTATAGCAATTGCCACAGCTTTGACACTCATAACCTAACACGAAACAGAGACAAAGACACTTACTTATATGCAAAGAGAGATATTACTAAGAGATGGCTCAATAAAAAAAAAAAAAACATACAGTGAGAGATCCCATTAAGGAGCAAATCCCAACATATACTATCATATGCGTCTTCCCATAACGGAGTTCGTAGTAGAAGATCAGTGCAAGCACCACAACCAAAACCACAGCAGAGTAAGCAAGGAAGCCTGATTCAGAGCATGTTTCAGTCAAATTAGAATCTAGCTATGTCTTTTGACAAAACAAAGAGACCTTTTATAGTTCTATACCTGGTTCAGTAGCCAGATGCCATATGTGCTTGACTGATTCAATGTCTTGCTCGTGAGGAGCATGCAAAACAATCGTTGTAGATCCAACAACACAGAGGACGCAGCCAAGTATACCGAACATATGCAACTTCTCTTCCAAGATAAAATGTGCAAGCACTGCGCTGCATAACAGGGTTTCTGTTTTCAGGAAACTAAGGTTGTTTTTAAGAAAGATACAATGGGAGAGAGATAAGGCATAGTGGATACAGATACCTGAAAATAATACTTAGAGCTCCCAAAGGTGTCACTAGAATAGCAGGTGCAAATGCATAAGCTGCAAAATTGGCTATCTCCCCAACAATCACTGTAAGAAAGAGGGAACACAATCTTATTAAGTATCACAACCAAACAATTCAACAGAATCTACTCTTTGCTTGTTTCTATCTTCTTGTTACCAAGTAAAAGCTTAACAATTGATTTTGGAGATGGTTTCATATTAATCTAATGATTGTTACTCGTCCAAGCTATCAGATTACTGTCCTAAAACAAAACCAGGATCCTTGATATTTTACATATATACGTTAAATATCATCCCTAACAAAATCATTCACTAAACCTTTCCCCTCTCCCCCTAAAACAGAGTATACCTTCAAAACCCAATTACTCTTTTTCTTTTAATCACCTCTCCCTCAAGAAAAGCTCTCTTTGTTGCCTGTGTTGCCTCGTTCTAGGCCGTCAGATGATCTATCTTCCATCTGAGCCGTGGGATCATAAAAGAGCTAAAGATTAGAATTGGAACTGCGAGTGGAACCTGAGTTGATGAAGACAGGAGTGTCTCTAGGCGTGTGTGACGTGGCGCCACGTGAGCTACCACTGTTTCCCATGTCTTTTGTCTTGTGGAGAAGAAAGGTTCCTGATAAAATGGTCACAAAGCCACATAGCTCCGTCGCAATTTGCAAACCACTCTGAGAAGCCCAGTCCTGAACCATAACACAAATGATGATGATGATGATGATGTTCTTATATTATACAAAATGGTAATTTCTTTAGTTTATGATCAGTTCTTGAAAACCAGAGTATACCTTGAACATGATCATACTAGCTAAGATGGTGAAAGTTGTGAACATAACGTAGTACACAAGAGATATAACCGCGGTGTTGAAATTATCTAGAGCCTGCACAGATGAATTACAAATATGAAACAAACAAAGGAGGTTTGTTCTTGAATCAGACAAACAAAATTGATACCAAGATCTTGTTGTCATCACCTTGTTCAGGTAGTTGATTTGCAAAATGCAACATATGGTCACTACTATGATGAAGATCCATGCGTGGAAGTACTTAAACTGGTTCAGCCCGGAAAAAGTCAGCTTTATAGCAATTGCCACAGCTTTGACACTCATAACCTAACACGAAACAGAGACAAAGACACTTACTTATATGCAAAGAGAGATATTACTAAGAGATGGCTCAATAAAAAAAAAAACATACAGTGAGAGATCCCATTAAGGAGCAAATCCCAACATATACTATCATATGCGTCTTCCCATAACGGAGTTCGTAGTAGAAGATCAGTGCAAGCACCACAACCAAAACCACAGCAGAGTAAGCAAGGAAGCCTGATTCAGAGCATGTTTCAGTCAAATTAGAATCTAGCTATGTCTTTTGACAAAACAAAGAGACCTTTTATAGTTCTATACCTGGTTCAGTAGCCAGATGCCATATGTGCTTGACTGATTCAATGTCTTGCTCGTGAGGAGCATGCAAAACAATCGTTGTAGATCCAACAACACAGAGGACGCAGCCAAGTATACCGAACATATGCAACTTCTCTTCCAAGATAAAATGTGCAAGCACTGCGCTGCATAACAGGGTTTCTGTTTTCAGGAAACTAAGGTTGTTTTTAAGAAAGATACAATGGGAGAGAGATAAGGCATAGTGGATACAGATACCTGAAAATAATACTTAGAGCTCCCAAAGGTGTCACTAGAATAGCAGGTGCAAATGCATAAGCTGCAAAATTGGCTATCTCCCCAACAATCACTGTAAGAAAGAGGGAACACAATCTTATTAAGTATCACAACCAAACAATTCAACAGAATCTACTCTTTGCTTGTTTCTATCTTCTTGTTACCAAGTAAAAGCTTAACAATTGATTTTGGAGATGGTTTCATATTAATCTAATGATTGTTACTCGTCCAAGCTATCAGATTACTGTCCTAAAACAAAACCAGGATCCTTGATATTTTACATATATACGTTAAATATCATCCCTAACAAAATCATTCACTAAACCTTTCCCCTCTCCCCCTAAAACAGAGTATACCTTCAAAACCCAATTACTCTTTTTCTTTTAATCACCTCTCCCTCAAGAAAAGCTCTCTTTGTTGCCTGTGTTGCCTCGTTCTAGGCCGTCAGATGATCTATCTTCCATGTGAGCCGTGGGATCATAAAAGAGCTAAAGATTAGAATTGGAACTGCGAGTGGAACCTGAGTTGATGAAGACAGGAGTGTCTCTAGGCGTGTGTGACGTGGCGCCACGTGAGCTACCACTGTTTCCCATGTCTTTTGTCTTGTGGAGAAGAAAGGTTCCTGATAAAATGGTCACAAAGCCACATAGCTCCGTCGCAATTTGCAAACCACTCTGAGAAGCCCAGTCCTGAACCATAACACAAATGATGATGATGATGATGATGTTCTTATATTATACAAAATGGTAATTTCTTTAGTTTATGATCAGTTCTTGAAAACCAGAGTATACCTTGAACATGATCATACTAGCTAAGATGGTGAAAGTTGTGAACATAACGTAGTACACAAGAGATATAACCGCGGTGTTGAAATTATCTAGAGCCTGCACAGATGAATTACAAATATGAAACAAACTAAGGAGGTTTGTTCTTGAATCAGACAAACAAAATTGATACCAAGATCTTGTTGTCATCACCTTGTTCAGGTAGTTGATTTGCAAAATGCAACATATGGTCACTACTATGATGAAGATCCATGCATGGAAGTACTTAAACTGGTTCATCCCGGAAAAAGTCAGCTTTATAGCAATTGCCACAGCTTTGACACTCATAACCTAACACGAAACAGAGACAAAGACACTTACTTATATGCAAAGAGAGATATTACTAAGAGATGGCTCAATAAAAAAAAAAACATACAGTGAGAGATCCCATTAAGGAGCAAATCCCAACATATACTATCATATGCGTCTTCCCATAACGGGGTTCGTAGTAGAAGATCAGTGCAAGCACCACAACCAAAACCACAGCAGAGTAAGCAAGGAAGCCTGATTCAGAGCATGTTTCAGTCAAATTAGAATCTAGCTATGTCTTTTGACAAAACAAAGAGACCTTTTATAGTTCTATACCTGGTTCAGTAGCCAGATGCCATATGTGCTTGACTGATTCAATGTCTTGCTCGTGAGGAGCATGCAAAACAATCGTTGTAGATCCAACAACACAGAGGACGCAGCCAAGTATACCGAACATATGCAACTTCTCTTCCAAGATAAAATGTGCAAGCACTGCGCTGCATAACAGGGTTTCTGTTTTCAGGAAACTAAGGTTGTTTTTAAGAAAGATACAATGGGAGAGAGATAAGGCATAGTGGATACAGATACCTGAAAATAATACTTAGAGCTCCCAAAGGTGTCACTAGAATAGCAGGTGCAAATGCATAAGCTGCAAAATTGGCTATCTCCCCAACAATCACTGTAAGAAAGAGGGAACACAATCTTATTAAGTATCACAACCAAACAATTCAACAGAATCTACTCTTTGCTTGTTTCTATCTTCTTGTTACCAAGTAAAAGCTTAACAATTGATTTTGGAGATGGTTTCATATTAATCTAATGATTGTTACTCGTCCAAGCTATCAGATTACTGTCCTAAAACAAAACCAGGATCCTTGATATTTTACATATATACGTTAAATATCATCCCTAACAAAATCATTCACTAAACCTTTCCCCTCTCCCCCTAAAACAGAGTATACCTTCAAAACCCAATTACTCTTTTTCTTTTAATCACCTCTCCCTCAAGAAAAGCTCTCTTTGTTGCCTGTGTTGCCTCGTTCTAGGCCGTCAGATGATCTATCTTCCATCTGAGCCGTGGGATCATAAAAGAGCTAAAGATTAGAATTGGAACTGCGAGTGGAACCTGAGTTGATGAAGACAGGAGTGTCTCTAGGCGTGTGTGACGTGGCGCCACGTGAGCTACCACTGTTTCCCATGTCTTTTGTCTTGTGGAGAAGAAAGGTTCCTGATAAAATGGTCACAAAGCCACATAGCTCCGTCGCAATTTGCAAACCACTCTGAGAAGCCCAGTCCTGAACCATAACACAAATGATGATGATGATGATGTTGTTCTTATATTATACAAAATGGTAATTTCTTTAGTTTATGATCAGTTCTTGAAAACCAGAGTATACCTTGAACATGATCATACTAGCTAAGATGGTGAAAGTTGTGAACATAACGTAGTACACAAGAGATATAACCGCGGTGTTGAAATTATCTAGAGCCTGCACAGATGAATTACAAAGATGAAACAAACTAAGGAGGTTTGTTCTTGAATCTGACAAACAAAATTGATACCAAGATCTTGTTGTCATCACCTTGTTCAGGTAGTTGATTTGCAAAATGCAACATATGGTCACTACTATGATGAAGATCCATGCGTGGAAGTACTTAAACTGGTTCATCCCGGAAAAAGTCAGCTTTATAGCAATTGCCACAGCTTTGACACTCATAACCTAACACGAAACAGAGACAAAGACACTTACTTATATGCAAAGAGAGATATTACTAAGAGATGGCTCAATAAAAAAAAAAAAAAACATACAGTGAGAGATCCCATTAAGGAGCAAATCCCAACATATACTATCATATGCGTCTTCCCATAACGGGGTTCGTAGTAGAAGATCAGTGCAAGCACCACAACCAAAACCACAGCAGAGTAAGCAAGGAAGCCTGATTCAGAGCATGTTTCAGTCAAATTAGAATCTAGCTATGTCTTTTGACAAAACAAAGAGACCTTTTATAGTTCTATACCTGGTTCAGTAGCCAGATGCCATATGTGCTTGACTGATTCAATGTCTTGCTCGTGAGGAGCATGCAAAACAATCGTTGTAGATCCAACAACACAGAGGACGCAGCCAAGTATACCGAACATATGCAACTTCTCTTCCAAGATAAAATGTGCAAGCACTGCGCTGCATAACAGGGTTTCTGTTTTCAGGAAACTAAGGTTGTTTTTTAAGAAAGATACAATGGGAGAGAGATAAGGCATAGTGGATACAGATACCTGAAAATAATACTTAGAGCTCCCAAAGGTGTCACTAGAATAGCAGGTGCAAATGCATAAGCTGCAAAATTGGCTATCTCCCCAACAATCACTGTAAGAAAGAAGGAACACAATCTTATTAAGTATCACAACCAAACAATTCAACAGAAATCTACTCTTTGCTTGTTTCTATCTTCTTGTTTCCAAGTAAAAGCTTAACAATTGATTTTGGAGATGGTTTCATATTAATCTAATGATTGTTACTCGTCCAAGCTATCAGATTACTGTCCCAAAACAAAACCAGGATCCTTGATATTTAACATATATACGTTAAATATCATCCCTAACAAAATCATTCACTAAACCTTTCCCCTCTCCCCCTAAAACAGAGTATACCTTCAAAACCCAATTACTCTTTTTCTTTTAATCACCTCTCCCTCAAGAAAAGCTCTCTTTGTTGCCTGTGTTGCCTCGTTCTAGGCCGTCAGATGATCTATCTTCCATCTGAGCCGTGGGATCATAAAAGAGCTAGAGATTAGAATTGGAACTGCGAGTGGAACCTGAGTTGATGAAGACAGGAGTGTCTCTAGGCATGTGTGACGTGGCGCCACGTGAGCTACCACTGTTTCCCATGTCTTTTGTCTTGTGGAGAAGAAAGGTTCCTGATAAAATGGTCACAAAGCCACATAGCTCCGTCGCAATTTGCAAACCACACCCAGTCCTGAACCATAACACAAATGATGATGATGATGATGATGTTCTTATATTATACAAAATGGTAATTTCTTTAGTTTATGATCAGTTCTTGAAAACCAGAGTATACCTTGAACATGATCATACTAGCTAAGATGGTGAAAGTTGTGAACATAACGTAGTACACAGGAGATATAACCGCGGTGTTGAAATTATCTAGAGCCTGCACAGATGAATTACAAAGATGAAACAAACTAAGGAGGTTTGTTCTTGAATCTGACAAAAACTAAATTGATACCAAGATCTTGTTGTCATCACCTTGTTCAGGTAGTTGATTTGCAAAATGCAACATATGGTCACTACTATGATGAAGATCCATGCGTGGAAGTACTTAAACTGGTTCATCCCGGAAAAAGTCAGCTTTATAGCAATTGCCACAGCTTTGACACTCATAACCTAACACGAAACAGAGACAAAGACACTTACTTATATGCAAAGAGAGATATTACAAAGAGATGGCTCAATAAAAAAAAAAACATACAGTGAGAGATCCCATTAAGGAGCAAATCCCAACATATACTATCATATGCGTCTTCCCATAACGGGGTTCGTAGTAGAAGATCAGTGCAAGAACCACAACCAAAACCACAGCAGAGTAAGCAAGGAAGCCTGATTCAGAGCGTGTTTCAGTCAAATTAGAATCTAGCTATGTCTTTTGACAAAACAAAGAGACCTTTTATAGTTCTATACCTGGTTCAGTAGCCAGATGCCATATGTGCTTGACTGATTCAATGTCTTGCTCGTGAGGAGCATGCAAAACAATCGTTGTAGATCCAACAACACAGAAGACGCAACCAAGTATACCGAACATATGCAACTTCTCTTCCAAGATAAAATGTGCAAGCACTGCGCTGCATAACAGGGTTTCTGTTTTCAGGAAACTAAGGTTGTTTTTAAGAAAGATACAATGGGAGAGAGATAAGGCATAGTGGATACAGATACCTGAAAATAATACTTAGAGCTCCCAAAAGTGTCACTAGAATAGCAGGTGCAAATGCATAAGCTGCAAAATTGGCTATCTCCCCAACAATCACTGTAAGAAAGAGGGAACACAATCTTATTAAGTATCACAACCAAACAATTCAACAGAATCTACTCTTTGCTTGTTTCTATCTTCTTGTTTCCAAGTAAAAGCTTAACAATTGATTTTGGAGATGGTTTCATATTAATCTAATGATTGTTACTCGTCCAAGCTATCAGATTACTGTCCCAAAACAAAACCAGGATCCTTGATATTTAACATATATACGTTAAATATCATCCCTAACAAAATCATTCACTAAACCTTTCCTCTCTCCCCCTAAAACAGAGTATACCTTCAAAACCCAATTACTCTTTTTCTTTTAATCACCTCTCCCTCAAGAAAAGCTCTCTTTGTTGCCTGTGTTGCCTCGTTCTAGGCCGTCAGATGATCTATCATCCATCTGAGCCGTGGGATCATAAAAGAGCTAGAGATTAGAATTGGAACTGCGAGTGGAACCTGAGTTGATGAAGACAGGAGTGTCTCTAGGCGTGTGTGATGTGGCGCCACGTGAGCTACCACTGTTTCCCATGTCTTTTGTCTTGTGGAGAAGAAAGGTTCCTGATAAAATGGTCACAAAGCCACATAGCTCCGTCGCAATTTGCAAACCACACCCAGTCCTGAACCATAACACAAATGATGATGATGATGATGATGTTCTTATATTATACAAAATGGTAATTTCTTTAGTTTATGATCAGTTCTTGAAAACCAGAGTATACCTTGAACATGATCATACTAGCTAAGATGGTGAAAGTTGTGAACATAACGTAGTACACAGGAGATATAACCGCGGTGTTGAAATTATCTAGAGCCTGCACAGATGAATTACAAAGATGAAACAAACTAAGGAGGTTTGTTCTTGAATCTGACAAACAAAATTGATACCAAGATCTTGTTGTCATCACCTTGTTCAGGTAGTTGATTTGCAAAATGCAACATATGGTCACTACTATGATGAAGATCCATGCGTGGAAGTACTTAAACTGGTTCATCCCGGAAAAAGTCAGCTTTATAGCAATTGCCACAGCTTTGACACTCATAACCTAACACGAAACAGAGACAAAGACACTTACTTATATGCAAAGAGAGATATTACTAAGAGATGGCTCAATAAAAAAAAAAAACATACAGTGCGAGATCCCATTAAGGAGCAAATCCCAACATATACTATCATATGCGTCTTCCCATAACGGGGTTCGTAGTAGAAGATCAGTGCAAGCACCACAACCAAAACCACAGCAGAGTAAGCAAGGAAGCCTGATTCAGAGCATGTTTCAGTCAAATTAGAATCTAGCTATGTCTTTTGACAAAACAAAGAGACCTTTTATAGTTCTATACCTGGTTCAGTAGCCAGATGCCATATGTGCTTGACTGATTCAATGTCTTGCTCGTGAGGAGCATGCAAAACAATCGTTGTAGATCCAACAACACAGAGGACGCAGCCAAGTATACCGAACATATGCAACTTCTCTTCCAAGATAAAATGTGCAAGCACTGCGCTGCATAACAGGGTTTCTGTTTTCAGGAAACTAAGGTTGTTTTTAAGAAAGATACAATGGGAGAGAGATAAGGCATAGTGGATACAGATACCTGAAAATAATACTTAGAGCTCCCAAAGGTGTCACTAGAATAGCAGGTGCAAATGCATAAGCTGCAAAATTGGCTATCTCCCCAACAATCACTGTAAGAAAGAGGGAACACAATCTTATTAAGTATCACAACCAAACAATTCAACAGAATCTACTCTTTGCTTGTTTCTATCTACTTGTTTCCAAGTAAAAGCTTAACAATTGATTTTGGAGATGGTTTCATATTAATCTAATGATTGTTACTCGTCCAAGCTATCAGATTACTGTCCCAAAACAAAACCAGGATCCTTGATATTTAACATATATACGTTAAATATCATCCCTAACAAAATCATTCACTAAACCTTTCCCCTCTCCCCTTAAAACAGAGTATACCTTCAAAACCCAATTACTCTTTTTCTTTTAATCACCTCTCCCTCAAGAAAAGCTCTCTTTGTTGCCTGTGTTGCCTCGTTCTAGGCCGTCAGATGATCTATCTTCCATCTGAGCTGTGGGATCATAAAAGAGCTAGAGATTAGAATTGGAACTGCAAGTGGAACCTGAGTTGATGAAGACAGGAGTGTCTCTAGGCGTGTGTGACGTGGCGCCACGTGAGCTACCACTGTTTCCCATGTCTTTTGTCTTGTGGAGAAGAAAGGTTCCTGATAAAATGGTCACAAAGCCACATAGCTCTGTCGCAATTTGCAAACCACTCTGAGAAGCCCAGTCCTGAACCATAACACAAATGATGATGATGATGATGATGTTCTTATATTATACAAAATGGTAATTTCTTTAGTTTATGATCAGTTCTTGAAAACCAGAGTATACCTTGAACATGATCATACTAGCTAAGATGGTGAAAGTTGTGAACATAACGTAGTACACAAGAGATATAACCGCGGTGTTGAAATTATCTAGAGCCTGCACAGATGAATTACAAAGATGAAACAAACTAAGGAGGTTTGTTCTTGAATCTGACAAACAAAATTGATACCAAGATCTTGTTGTCATCACCTTGTTCAGGTAGTTGATTTGCAAAATGCAACATATGGTCACTACTATGATGAAGATCCATGCGTGGAAGTACTTAAACTGGTTCATCCCGGAAAAAGTCAGCTTTATAGCAATTGCCACAGCTTTGACACTCATAACCTAACACGAAACAGAGACAAAGACACTTACTTATATGCAAAGAGAGATATTACTAAGAGATGGCTCAATAAAAAAAAAAACATATAGTGAGAGATCCCATTAAGGAGCAAATCCCAACATATACTATCATATGCGTCTTCCCATAACGGGGTTCGTAGTAGAAGATCAGTGCAAGCACCACAACCAAAACCACAGCAGAGTAAGCAAGGAAGCCTGATTCAGAGCATGTTTCAGTCAAATTAGAATCTAGCTATGTCTTTTGACAAAACAAAGAGACCTTTTATAGTTCTATACCTGGTTCAGTAGCCAGATGCCCATATGTGCTTGACTGATTCAATGTCTTGCTCGTGAGGAGCATGCAAAACAATCGTTGTAGATCCAACAACACAGAGGACGCAGCCAAGTATACCGAACATATGCAACTTCTCTTCCAAGATAAAATGTGCAAGCACTGCGCTGCATAACAGGGTTTCTGTTTTCAGGAAACTAAGGTTGTTTTTAAGAAAGATACAATGGGAGAGAGATAAGGCATAGTGGATACAGATACCTGAAAATAATACTTAGAGCTCCCAAAGGTGTCACTAGAATAGCAGGTGCAAATGCATAAGCTGCAAAATTGGCTATCTCCCCAACAATCACTGTAAGAAAGAAGGAACACAATCTTATTAAGTATCACAACCAAACAATTCAACAGAATCTACTCTTTGCTTGTTTCTATCTTCATGTTTCCAAGTAAAAGCTTAACAATTGATTTTGGAGATGGTTTCATATTAATCTAATGATTGTTACTCGTCCAAGCTATCAGATTACTGTCCCAAAATAAAACCAGGATCCTTGATATTTAACATATATACGTTAAATATCATCTCTAACAAAAATCATTCACTAAACCTTTCCCCTCTCCCCCTAAAACAGAGTATACCTTCAAAACCCAATTACTCTTTTTCTTTTAATCACCTCTCCCTCAAGAAAAGCTCTCTTTGTTGCCTGTGTTGCCTCGTTCTAGGCCGTCAGATGATCTATCTTCCATCTGAGCCGTGGGATCATAAAAGAGCTAGAGATTAGAATTGGAACTGCGAGTGGAACCTGAGTTGATGAAGACAGGAGTGTCTCTAGGCGTGTGTGACGTGGCGCCACGTGAGCTACCACTGTTTCCCATGTCTTTTGTCTTGTGGAGAAGAAAGGTTCCTGATAAAATGGTCACAAAGCCACATAGCTCCGTCGCAATTTGCAAACCACACCCAGTCCTGAACCATAACACAAATGATGATGATGATGATGATGTTCTTATATTATACAAAATGGTAATTTCTTTAGTTTATGATCAGTTCTTGAAAACCAGAGTATACCTTGAACATGATCATACTAGCTAAGATGGTGAAAGTTGTGAACATAACGTAGTACACAGGAGATATAACCGCGGTGTTGAAATTATCTAGAGCCTGCACAGATGAATTACAAAGATGAAACAAACTAAGGAGGTTTGTTCTTGAATCTGACAAACAAAATTGATACCAAGATCTTGTTGTCATCACCTTGTTCAGGTAGTTGATTTGCAAAATGCAACATATGGTCACTACTATGATGAAGATCCATGCGTGGAAGTACTTAAACTGGTTCATCCCGGAAAAAGTCAGCTTTATAGCAATTGCCACAGCTTTGACACTCATAACCTAACACGAAACAGAGACAAAGACACTTACTTATATGCAAAGAGAGATATTACTAAGAGATGGCTCAATAAAAAAAAAAACATACAGTGAGAGATCCCATTAAGGAGCAAATCCCAACATATACTATCATATGCGTCTTCCCATAACGGGGTTCGTAGTAGAAGATCAGTGCAAGCACCACAACCAAAACCACAGCAGAGTAAGCAAGGAAGCCTGATTCAGAGCATGTTTCAGTCAAATTAGAATCTAGCTATGTCTTTTGACAAAACAAAGAGACCTTTTATAGTTCTATACCTGGTTCAGTAGCCAGATGCCATATGTGCTTGACTGATTCAATGTCTTGCTCGTGAGGAGCATGCAAAACAATCGTTGTAGATCCAACAACACAGAGGACGCAGCCAAGTATACCGAACATATGCAACTTCTCTTCCAAGATAAAATGTGCAAGCACTGCGCTGCATAACAGGGTTTCTGTTTTCAGGAAACTAAGGTTGTTTTTAAGAAAGATACAATGGGAGAGAGATAAGGCATAGTGGATACAGATACCTGAAAATAATACTTAGAGCTCCCAAAGGTGTCACTAGAATAGCAGGTGCAAATGCATAAGCTGCAAAATTGGCTATCTCCCCAACAATCACTGTAAGAAAGAGGGAACACAATCTTATTAAGTATCACAACCAAACAATTCAACAGAATCTACTCTTTGCTTGTTTCTATCTTCTTGTTTCCAAGTAAAAGCTTAACAATTGATTTTGGAGATGGTTTCATATTAATCTAATGATTGTTACTCGTCCAAGCTATCAGATTACTGTCCCAAAACAAAACCAGGATCCTTGATATTTAACATATATACGTTAAATATCATCCCTAACAAAATCATTCACTAAACCTTTCCCCTCTCCCCCTAAAACAGAGTATACCTTCAAAACCCAATTACTCTTTTTCTTTTAATCACCTCTCCCTCAAGAAAAGCTCTCTTTGTTGCCTGTGTTGCCTCGTTCTAGGCCGTCAGATGATCTATCTTCCATCTGAGTCGTGGGATCATAAAAGAGCTAGAGATTAGAATTGGAACTGCGAGTGGAACCTGAGTTGATGAAGACAAGAGTGTCTCTAGGCGTGTGTGACGTGGCGCCACGTGAGCTACCACTGTTTCCCATGTCTTTTGTCTTGTGGAGAAGAAAGGTTCCTGATAAAATGGTCACAAAGCCACATAGCTCCGTCGCAATTTGCAAACCACTCTGAGAAGCCCAGTCCTGAACCATAACACAAATGATGATGATGATGATGATGTTCTTATATTATACAAAATGGTAATTTCTTTAGTTTATGATCAGTTCTTGAAAACCAGAGTATACCTTGAACATGATCATACTAGCTAAGATGATGAAAGTTGTGAACATAACGTAGTACACAGGAGATATAACCGCAGTGTTGAAATTATCTAGAGCCTGCACAGATGAATTACAAAGATGAAACAAACTAAGGAGGTTTGTTCTTGAATCTGACAAACAAAATTGATACCAAGATCTTGTTGTCATCACCTTGTTCAGGTAGTTGATTTGCAAAATGCAACATATGGTCACTACTATGATGAAGATCCATGCGTGGAAGTACTTAAACTGGTTCATCCCGGCAAAAGTCAGCTTTATAGCAATTGCCACAGCTTTGACACTCATAACCTAACACGAAACAGAGACAAAGACACTTACATATATGCAAAGAGAGATATTACTAAGAGATGGCTCAATAAAAAAAAAAATACATACAGTGAGAGATCCCATTAAGGAGCAAATCCCAACATATACTATCATATGCGTCTTCCCATAACGGGGTTCGTAGTAGAAGATCAGTGCAAGCACCACAACCAAAACCACAGCAGAGTAAGCAAGGAAGCCTGATTCAGAGCATGTTTCAGTCAAATTAGAATCTAGCTATGTCTTTTGACAAAACAAAGAGACCTTTTATAGTTCTATACCTGGTTCAGTAGCCAGATGCCATATGTGCTTGACTGATTCAATGTCTTGCTCGTGAGGAGCATGCAAAACAATCGTTGTAGATCCAACAACACAGAGGACGCAGCCAAGTATACCGAACATATGCAACTTCTCTTCCAAGATAAAATGTGCAAGCACTGCGCTGCATAACAGGGTTTCTGTTTTCAGGAAACTAAGGTTGTTTTTAAGAAAGATACAATGGGAGAGAGATAAGGCATAGTGGATACAGATACCTGAAAATAATACTTAGAGCTCCCAAAGGTGTCACTAGAATAGCAGGTGCAAATGCATAAGCTGCAAAATTGGCTATCTCCCCAACAATCACTGTAAGAAAGAGGGAACACAATCTTATTAAGTATCACAACCAAACAATTCAACAGAATCTACTCTTTGCTTGTTTCTATCTTCTTGTTACCAAGTAAAAGCTTAACAATTGATTTTGGAGATGGTTTCATATTAATCTAATGATTGTTACTCGTCCAAGGTATCAGATTACTGTCCTAAAACAAAACCAGGATCCTTGATATTTTACATATATACGTTAAATATCATCCCTAACAAAATCATTCACTAAACCTTTCCCCTCTCCCCCTAAAACAGAGTATACCTTCAAAACCCAATTACTCTTTTTCTTTTAATCACCTCTCCCTCAAGAAAAGCTCTCTTTGTTGCCTGTGTTGCCTCGTTCTAGGCCGTCAGATGATCTATCTTCCATCTGAGCCGTGGGATTATAAAAGAGCTAAAGATTAGAATTGGAACTGCGAGTGGAACCTGAGTTGATGAAGACAGGAGTGTCTCTAGGCGTGTGTGACGTGGCGCCACGTGAGCTACCACTGTTTCCCATGTCTTTTGTCTTGTGGAGAAGAAAGGTTCCTGATAAAATGGTCACAAAGCCACATAGCTCCGTCGCAATTTGCAAACCACTCTGAGAAGCCCAGTCCTGAACCATAACACAAATGATGATGATGATGATGATGTTCTTATATTATACAAAATGGTAATTTCTTTAGTTTATGATCAGTTCTTGAAAACCAGAGTATACCTTGAACATGATCATACTAGCTAAGATGGTGAAAGTTGTGAACATAACGTAGTACACAAGAGATATAACCGCGGTGTTGAAATTATCTAGAGCCTGCACAGATGAATTACAAAGATGAAACAAACTAAAGAGGTTTGTTCTTGAATCAGACAAACAAAATTGATACCAAGATCTTGTTGTCATCACCTTGTTCAGGTAGTTGATTTGCAAAATGCAACATATGGTCACTACTATGATGAAGATCCATGCGTGGAAGTACTTAAACTGGTTCATCCCGGAAAAAGTCAGCTTTATAGCAATTGCCACAGCTTTGACACTCATAACCTAACACGAAACAGAGACAAAGACACTTACTTATATGCAAAGAGAGATATTACTAAGAGATGGCTCAATAAAAAAAAAAACATACAGTGAGAGATCCCATTAAGGAGCAAATCCCAACATATACTATCATATGCGTCTTCCCATAACGGGGTTCGTAGTAGAAGATCAGTGCAAGCACCACAACCAAAAACCACAGCAGAGTAAGCAAGGAAGCCTGATTCAGAGCATGTTTCAGTCAAATTAGAATCTAGCTATGTCTTTTGACAAAACAAAGAGACCTTTTATAGTTCTATACCTGGTTCAGTAGCCAGATGCCATATGTGCTTGACTAATTCAATGTCTTGCTCGTGAGGAGCATGCAAAACAATCGTTGTAGATCCAAC